GAAGCAGAGGCCCGGCTGTCCTCTGGAGTGTCCGGAAGCAGAGGCCTGGGCTGTCCTCTGGAGTGTCCGGAAGCAGAGGCCTGGGCTGTCCTCTGGAGTGACCAGAAGCAGAGGCCCGGCTGTCCTCTGGAGTGTCCGGGAGCAGAGGCCAGGGGCTTCTCTCTGGGCTCCCAAGTGGGGGAGGTGGGACGGTGTTCTGGTTGCTTTGACTTTTGTCTAAGGTCCTGACTTGAGAAGCTTCCAGAACTTTTCATGGAGGACCCAAGCCCAGGGAGCCCTCCCCTCAGGCTGCCTAGCCTGTGTTCCCTGGCCGCTGTCCCCACCACACTGCCTTTGGGTCCCGGGGCGGCCCCTGCCCCTGCCCCTTTCCACTCTGCCCTTCTCCCCATCCCCGTGGTCCGCGGAGTTCGGCCTGCCCTCTGCACAAAGGGGAACGTTCCTGGAAACGCTCGCCCATTTTCCACCTCCAACGGAAGCTGGAACCTGCCCCTCCACCTGCACGCGGCCCGGGAGCCGCCCAGAGCCAGGAGCGGCCCGGCCTACATTCGAGATGTTCCTTGGAAACTCCGGGCTGCTAATTCAGGCTCCCAACTGCGTGTCCCCCCGAGCAATCCGGCCGGCTCGAGCCCTGTGCCTTGCACCGGCTGGGCCCAGGGCGGGCCCAGGAAGGCCGGCCAGCCCTGCGGAGCCACCCAGCAACCGCCTACCGCACGTCAGACCCACTCGTAAGCCCTTCCTCCCTCTGGCTCTGCGGTGCCCAGGCCAGGGTGCCGTCGGCTGGGGAGGAATCCTGGGCGTGGAGTGTGGGGCTGGCCTGCCCGAGGTCACACAGGAATTCACTCTGAGAATTCATTTGACTGCGGACTCAAGTCCAGTGCTCCCTGCCCTCCCCAGCTGGTACCCCAGGAAGCCTGGGACCCCCCAGAGCCAGTAGCCCAGACGCTGGCGTTAGGCGGCGCTAAGTCTCTCATTGTACTTGGGACCAAGTTTGGAGGTATGCCACTCTGTCCAGCAGCGTCCCCGGGGGGGTCCAGCGGCCCTTGGGCAGCTGACTTAACATCAGGTTTTGTGCAAATCTGTCACAACTCATTTCGGTTGCAAGTGGTACAGCGTGATGGGAAATGAGACCGTTGGTCCCGTTACGCCAGGCACGGCTGCCTCGAGCCCAGATGATGGGCCAGGGCTCGTTCCTCTTCCTGGCTTTGCTTTCGCGGTGCTGGCGTCACGGTCAGACAGGGTGTCCTCCAGGCGGTACAGTGGCTTGCCGCTGTGTCAGCCCTATGAGGCCCTCCAGTGTGAACCCAGCCCTGTTTGTTGCTTTGCCCGATGGCCTGGGCCCCGGCCAGGCATGGGGGCCTGTGGGAAGTGCTTTGGTTGGCCGGGCCCAGGGCTCCGGCTCCGGTAGGAGCGCAGAGGCTCCGCAGGACACTGGGAAGGAGTGGACTCCTGGGCTCAGTGGGAGTCTGTTACCTGGTAGGTTCGCCAGGCCCGCGGTCTGCCCAGCCCCCGACACGGCCACCTGCCCGCGGCCCTACAGTCTCGTCCCTCTCGCCTGCCTTCTCTTTACCCCTGCCTCTTCCCAACGACACGTCATGGAGTCGAGTCGGACTCCTGCGGCTTCTCCAGGGTGCACTGGAAAGTCCAGTGTTGGCAAGGCCCCCAGGTCGGGCTAGCAGGACCGCCTGCCGCCTGCCCCATCAGATCACCATCCCTGCCTGACCAGACTCTCCAGCCCCGAATGATGTCCACCGGCCCTGGGCCTGTCCTCCCAGAGCCCTTCCCCGAGGTCCCCACCCGCCCGCCCCGCTGCCGCCGTGTGGAGCTGGGCTTGTCCCTGGGGGTGGCGTGGCACCGGCCTCGGTGCCCGGGGACGGAGCCCTGAGACACTCTCTTTAACATGCCTCCTTTCTCCCCTGCAGCAAGACGGGACCAGCAAGGAGTGTGTGTTCATCGAGAAGGTTCTGGAGAACAACTACACGGCCCTGATGTCGGCCAAGTACTCGGGCTGGTACGTGGGCTTCACCAAGAAGGGCCGCGCCCGCAAGGGTCCGCGGACCCGCGAGAACCAGCAGGACGTCCACTTCATGAAGCGCCACCCCCGGGGCCAGGTGGAGCCGCAGAAGCCCTTCAAGTACACCACGGTGACCAAGCGGACGCGGCGTGTGCGCCCCACGCACCCCGGCTAGCCGCCTCGGCCCCGCCGCCCGCGCCGCTCACTCCCGGAGAACTGCAGCAGGGGGATATTTTTACACGAGAAGACAAGGAAGAAGCTCTATTTTTGTACATTGTGTTTAAAAGAAGAGACTGAGCCAAAACTCGCGGGGCGGTGGGGGGGGGCGATAAGGATCTCACCGCCGAGCAGGTGAAGCCAGACGCAGGACGAGGGCCGGGAGACCCGTGGGGCCCAGGGCCGCCTCTCCCGGAGGAGGCAGCCCGCGGTCCCCACTCGGGACTCGGCAGACCAAAGTCCTTTCCCCCAAAGGTTCTGAAAGCAAAGGAACAACGCGAAAACAGATTGGAAAGAGAGGGCGGCGCCCCCCCCCCCCCCGCGGCCACCCCGCCTCCCGGTCCACACCTCTCGCCCCAGACGCCAACAAAAATCGCTCTCCGGTTTGCAGCTGTTTATTTATTGTCCGCTGCAAGCTGACCCGAGACACCGCGCAGGAAAGGGCACCCCGGAACTCTCCGCGCCTCGACCTTCGATGACAGACGGACGCCCGCGCCCAATCATGGTGACCGCGCTGCGGCGGTCCTGAGGTCCGCTCCGGCCCTCCGCCCCTCCATGGCACCAGGGATGAGGGAACCCTTTAGACCAGCTATGTTATATATATTATATATATGAGCTATTTATTTCACCTCTCTGTATATTGCAGTTTCATGAACCAAGTATTACTGCCTCAACCATTAAAAACAACAGACAGATTATTTAAAAACAAAACTGGAGGCAAGCGGTGGCTGGAGCAGCTTCTTTATGCCCGCTGCGTGTTGGTCTTGGTCCTTGCTCTAAGGACTGGAGCCTGGCTCACTTGTTGATGGATTGGTTCATGTGTGCACATCTGGTCCTTAGTTCACACCTCCGTGTATCTCCATCCTCTCCTTCATGTCTTCATCTGTTTCTTTGCCTCCTTCCTTCATCCCCTCATCCAGCCAACAACCCAACCACCCATCCACGTATCCGCCTCTTCTTCCGTGCCTTCATTCCTATCTACCCATCCATCCACCCCTTACATCCATCCCTTCCCGCACGCATTTATCCACCTGTCCCTTCACCCAGGATTCACCCAGCATTTCCTGCGCTGGGCATGCGTCTACCTTAGTAAGATAAAAACCTTGCTTCAGAGATTTCCTTTTATGTGGCTGGTTCAGGGCTGACTCAATCACTCACTCACATGTATGCAGCTAGCACCTCTTCGTGCCAAGTTTCTATGTCCAGATCCCTTCTAGTAGTTCATTTTTCTTCTGATTCCTTGCATTGTTCACTGACTTACTGATGGGTCCATTCATTCAACCTGGTTTTACTGAGCACCTCTAAGAGCTAGATATTCTGGGGACAGGCGGTCCATTGAAGAACAAGATACCCAGAGCTGTCCTAACTCATGGAGGTTGGAGGGTAGGGCTTGGTTGAGTCGTTGCTCTATTTTGCCAAACACAGGCTGGACAGGGAAATAGGGTGGGGTTTCCAGGTCAGTTTGATATCTGGAATTTCCTTTATCATCCATCCATCCATCCATCCATCCGTCTGTCTGTCTGCCTTCCCCTGTGCTTCTGGATCTAAAGAAGTGGAGGGTAGAGAGGACGCTGGGGTCTTGGTCTCAGCCCCGGCCACCTGCTCCTGTCTTCTCCTGGAGGGAGTGGAGACAGACCGGCCCCAGCGCGGGGACAGAGCCAGGCAGGGTGTGGGGGGGCGGCCCTGGCGGGGGGAAGGCACGGGGAAGGCACCGTGTAGCCAGAGCAGGAGCTCCCGGTCTGACTGTGGGACCCGCTGGACGTGCGCCAGGCCAAGCTGGGGTGCCCGGGGCCTGAAAGCCCTATAAACGCGCAGAGCCTTCTCTCCCTGGCCGGCCGGGGCTCACCACGAAACAATGGTGAATGACGTGCTAGAGATGGGGCGCAGTGCCCCAGCCGCCCAATTAGCCGGTGGGTCTGCTGCAGACATTAGACCAAGCTGGGGACCAGATGGCGGCGAGGCGCAGGCCGGGTCCAGGCGTGCCTGGCTTCCTGGCCGAGTCTCCCAGCACCGACGGGGCCGGAGGCGGGAGGTGGCCGGCGTGCGGCCCCCCGTGGAGCGGACGGGCCATTAACCAGGCCTTGCCCCCGCCTCCCAGGGCAGCTCATGGGCCCAATTAGCACTTGCTGGGGTTCCTGTCCGGCCCCACTGGGCAGGCAGCTCCCCAGCCCGTGCAGGCTGACGGGCCGCAGCTGCAGGCCTCGGTCACCCCAGAGCCCGTCCCGAGCGCTGGGTGCTCTCCGAAGACCGCCACGGACCTGTGTCCTTGGTCCACCCCTGGCCTGGCCGCTGTCCCCCCCGCCTGTCATTTAATCCCTACTCACTGTCCTCTGGCATTTCTTTTTTGTCATCTGCTTCCTACCCACGGAGAAACTGAGTCTGGGAAGGGAATCACTCATTCAAAATAGTTGGTCAGACCTCCAAACCCTGCGTGTGACCATGACACCCCCCACCCCAAGAAACCAGTGGGAAATCAGAGAAGCCAAGAGCCTTGCTCAGAGACACACAGTCAGGACGTGGTAGAGCCAGGCTGGAAGCAATGTCCTCCACCCCTGCCTGCCACATTCAGGGCTCTTCAGACTGGGTAAGTGATGCAGAGACATGGAAGCAGACTTCCATGTGGCCATGCGTTAGCATGTGTGCACTGGTGTCGGTCTGGCTTCAGGCAGAGCTGGAGCTGGGTCATGTTTTCTTTCCCTGCTCTCTCCTCTGATTGGTTTCTTTCTCAGGAGGGCAGATTTATATCCTGCTGGATTAATACTTTAGAGGATGTTTATTCTCCCTTTTTGGGGGGTGTAGCACTAGGGCTTGAACTCAGGGTCTTATGCTCTTGCTTGGCTTTCTGCTCAAGACCGGTGGCCTACCATTTGATCCATAACTCCACATTGCTGGTTGATTTGGACTTTTCTGCCTGAGCTGGTTTTGAGCCAAGATCCTCAGATCTCAAGTCTCCTGACTAGCTAGGATTACAGGTGTGAGCCACCCTTGAATAAGTCTCTGATCAGGGAGGTCGAATAGTTTAACTGACCAGCTGTAGGTCATGGCTGGTCCCTGGAGCTGGGCTAGGGGAGGAGTAAGCCCGGATGTGTGCCCAGAGCCGCCGCGGAGGAAGGCAGGAGCAGCCCAGGTGTCCGGCCAGGTGCTCCTCATCTCCAGGAGAGATGCCTCTCGGCTCCACCCACCGCGCAGCGTCTCGGGGCCTGGGGCAGGCCTGCAGCTCCAATTCCAACAGCTTCCCAGGTTGCCGCCACTGCCCATCCGAGGGCCAGACTTGGAGGACCTAGTCTCCCGTGTGCTCTTCATCTCAAGCTCAATCCTGCTTGGTGACCCAGGCTACAGGAGCTGTGTTCAAATCACAGCTCTCAACTCCGAACACGTGCGCCTCAGGAGATGGTGGCTTTCCAGAGCTGGGCAGGTACTGTCATTTCCTGGGCATCACCCACACGTGCCCAGGTCTCCTGGTCCAGCCCTGGTCTCTGGGCCGCAGTCCCTGCCCCCGCTCCCCCCTCCACGCCTCTCTCCCTCCCCCCTCAGAACCCTGTGTTCCCAGCATGCCTTGCCTCGTGCTGCAGACAGCTCCAGATTACAGAATAGTACCCACGGTGCTGTGTGTCCCCGGTGGGGACACGCTGGTCTCTGTCCTAGGAAGGGAAAAACGTGACTCCTGTCTTGGTAGAAGTGAGGTCATGTTGGATTCAGGTGTGTGGGAAGTCAGATGGTAGGAATATCGCCAATTTTCCTTGTTTCTTTTGTATTTGGAGAAATATTGCTCTGGAATACATTCACGCCGGTGGACGGTGGACGGTCTAGCAGTACCAAGCAAACTTTGGTAGGAGTAACTCATTTTGTCCTGGGAACACCAAATCATGGCTAATTTCGTGTCTTATCTATTCATTTATCTGTTCTCTTACCCATGCATCATCCATCCATCCATCCATGCCTCTGCCCACCTGTCCGTCTGTCCCTCCGTCCATGCATCTATGCATCCATCCATCCATGCATTTGTCCGCCCGTCGATCCGTCCGTGCACTTGTCTGTCTTTCCATCGGTTCGTCCATTTGTGGTTGGAAAGCTGGTCTTTGGCGTTGGCTGTGTTATGGGGACTTGGTGCCCTCATTGGTTCGTCCATTTGTGGTTGGAAGGCTGGTCTTTGGCAGTGGCCGTGTTATGGGGACTTGGTGCCCTCTGCTCCCCCTGCACGTTTCCTTTCCTTTCAGGTGCGCCACTGTTTTCCAGCTGGCTCGGCCTGTTCACCATCCCCACTCCCAGCCTGGCTTCCAAGCCTGGGGTCCTGCCCTTGAACGGCGAAACTTCCGGGGTGGAAGGACAGACTTACTCCCAGGGCTCCAGATGCTCAGGCAGCGTGGAGACCTCCAGGACAGAGTTGGTAACACAAGTTGCTTCACCCTCCTTCTGCTCTCAGTACTTCCAGCCAGGCTGGGGAGGGGCCCTGGGAGGGGGGACTGTGGTCAGCCAGGAGGGGCGGGAGCAGGCTGGGGGGGCAGGGGGCTGGGGGGG